TGTTTTTGTCCCCTGCATGATAAAGCACTTACAGCCTGGGGACGGAACTGTCCAGTGCTGACAGTCTTAAAGGTGATTTTAAGTACTTTAGCCATAGAAAGTTAAAAAGATCTTTGTTTTCCAGAGGTCTACTCTTTTCGTCCTGCTTTTGCTAGATATGTGCCAGACATACGTCATTTTTAGAAGACAATAGGTTATGGTAAATCTGATATTCATCACTATAGTCCCAAAGCTGTGGGTTCTGTGTGAATCAGGTTTATGGGAAGTGGGCTGTTTAGTGGACACCAATTTTCCCTTCAGGAGCAGCAACTAAACCACCTTTATGTAGAGCGGGCAGCTGGGGACTTGGTTCTGATTACAAGCTCGCAGCTCTCCCTTAGTGCATGTCATCGTAGCCATTGCGAATGGCGGGAGTGGGGATACTGTACCTGTGGGATATTCTACGGGCAGCCAGTCATGATGCAGATGCCATCAAGAAAAGAAGGAGCACTCCTGAGTAACTAGGAGAGCAGCCTACAGCTGTGACGCAGAGCCTCATGGGCGAGAAGCTGGAAACAGCCTGCATGCTCCACCTCAACCTGGTTGTTGACATGGACGCTGTAAGGCCTGGACCTTCTCCTCTGGGTTCACATACCCCGATGTGAACTTCGCTGCAGTGAAGTTAATCACCCCACAAACTGCCCAAGGAGGTAGGGGACTGCGCATATTCATTTGCCTAGGACTGTGTTCTGCAGATGTCTGTGCTGAACCCCGCTGCCTGCTGTGCATGCATACCAGCAATGCCCATCACCAGTGCCCGGTTCACTGTGTGTGGTCACTGATGCCCGTGAGGCACCTCCACGGCACTGCTAAGTCGTGAGCAAAGTTTTCCACTGAAGATCATATTATACTTAATGCAGTTTTGAGAAATGAGTTTGGGGCTATGGAAAAGAAAGATACTGGGTCTCAAAGAGGAAGCTCCATGGAGCTGTTGGAATGCAGGAGATGCCCGGGAACCTTGAAATGCGAAGCAAGCAGCTGGTTCTGGTAGGCCAGCCCCTGTCCCGGCAGGAACATTGCTGAAGGTCAGAGCCCAGCCTGGACTGTCCACGCCATCTAAGTGCACAGGTCTGCAGAGCAATCTCAGCCATACGCACTGGGCCTCTCTCTAGGACATGTGGCCCTGCTGCAGGAACAGCCTCCTGTGGCCTTCTGTGGTGCGCTGGGTTAGGGTGGCCGGGGAGCAGCGCAGCAGGGGAACAGAGATATGGGGGTGCTGGGTGCATGCGTCAGGGCGAGCGAGACAGGCCTGCACTTGGCCCTACGCTCTGGCGTTCTGCACACGCTCACTAGCAGATCCTCTGAGTGTCTGGTCTTTCAAGTACCATGTGAGAGCTCCAACTAACCGCGCTGAGGGCCGGCCCTGTAGCCATCACCTCTGCAGGAGACCCTTACGGAAGGCTCTGGGCAGCTGACTCAGTAGTCCTGTGTGCAATCCAGCTTTGCCAAAAGCAGCACTAGAACACCCACTTGGCAATTAGACCCTTGTTATAAATGGTATTTCAAGATGACAAACCACATGTGTGCATGCATGGGTAGGCACATTCATTCTCTGGTTGCCAATTTGTCTTCGGTCTCCATACTGATTCTCAGGGCCACTCATCCAAAGAAAGCTCCGGGTTAGCAAGTCCCTCAGCATCAACAGCTGCCCCTGCTTCGTGGTACAGTGGGCCATGCCTACTGACTCCTGTGCTCTCCAGCTGCTTGTCAGCTGGGGTCAGACGTGGTGACACTGCGCGTATGATAACCATTACAACCTGGGGGCACTGAAAGGTGGGCCTGCGGCTACAGGTGGGATCCACCCATTTTGAGCTGTTGTCAGCCACGGATCTCACAACACTGGGCGTCTAGAGAACTCACATTCCTGTGTGTGTGTGGACACAGGGGCTCCTGGATTCTGACATGCTCATGGCCTGAGGCCCATCATGAGCTGGAAATGCACTCAGTGCCCCTTGTCTGTGTGGCACCAGGGTCCAGCACAAGCCCCCTGGAGGGTCATGACCAGAGGCCCTTGGCCAGGCTCACGGCGGCCACCAGCATCAGGAGAGGATCCTGCCGCACATCACTAACCCAGGAGAAGATGGAATGAGAGCCAGAGTGTGGCGGAACTTCCACACCATTGCCAAGTCAAAAGCCTGGAGCTGCACATAGCAGCTTGGGGCTGTGTGTGTGTGTGTGTGCGCGTGCGTGTGCGCGCGTAAGACTGAGCAAAGTGACTGTGTGGCACCTGAGTCCATACATCATAATTTGCTGAGACATTTGGATTACTCTAGTGTAAATAAGTCTGCAATTAACATGTTTAAACATTCAGCTTTTCTTCTCTGAAGGTTCCCAGAGCAGCGATCCCTGTAAATGTCATTACTTCCTAGGCTAAGCCTTAAACCCAGTTTTCCTGCAGCATTGTTCACTCTGCTTTTGTAGAGGGTCCCTGATCATGTGGCCATCAGTGAGTCATCCAGATGACCTAATATCATTGTATATGGTTATTTTAAGGAGAAAACATGCCCTTTTAGAAGTTCCCGAAATGTAGAAAACGTAGGAATGGTGGTGAAACTTCACGTCTCCCTAGGACTCAGCATTCGGCAGGTGTTGAGGAAGCCCTGCTCTGCTGACTGGCAAGAGCCCCCGTCCTGCACACCCTGATTGTCCCGGCAGACATCTGGCCATGGTGGTCCACCTTGGGTTATCCCGACTAGACCGTGAATACAGCCAGTTCCTGCTCTGTGCCCTCTGGTTGTGTTGTGTTCTAAGACTCTGTGTGGACCTCCACCAGCTCCTCCGGCCCTGCGAGCTGCCTGCTCCCTTTGTCCCCTCACTCCTGTCCCTCCCCTCCACTTCAGGCAGTTAAATCAGAAAGTCCAAAATCCAGAAAGCCCCCAGCAGGCGCTGTAGAGAGAATGATCTCTCAGTGTGCGTTCACAGATTTCAGATAACCCACCCTCTTCCAGGTGCTGATGGCTAAACTGTCCACCTGCAGGGTTGGAATTTTCTTCCAGGCCATTCCCTAGGGCCAGCTCTCTGGGGTCCCTGCATCTTTGGTCACTGCTCTGTTTGCCGTCAGTCCTATAGAGTCACCAGTCCTTTCTGTTTCACTGGGTCCCGGGGGTCCTGGGTAGCTGGCCTGAAGGTGGTGGCGTGGCTCCCAGCAGCTTCCTCCTCAGCCTGTCACTGTGAGGAGCGAGTCCCCACCCCAGTTCTGTGTGGATGTGCTCCAGCCTGCAGGGCTCTTTAGCCACAGGGTCACCTCAGGAGTTGCACCCACTCCACACACTAGCTAACTCTTACTAATGGGCAGAACTTAGCAGCATGGGCTGCAAACAGTAGGTGTGGTCTGGTCCTCTAGCCCCTCTCCCAAGGAGCACCAAGTTAATGACAAAGCATGGTGAACTCCGAATCATAAAATTGTGCCCAGAGCAACTACCACCTTCGTGATTCCACAGTCTTATTTTTACTTTTTTTTTTAGAAAAATTAAAGAAAATGGAATGGATTTCCCTATTTTATGTGTAATAAATAAAGTGAGGCAAAACAATACGACTACAGTTCATGTTTCTGGTTGAAAGCACTTAGATTATAGTGGTCATATGGGAAGTGTATTGCCCCAGTGCTAATTCGTGACAATTTAATAATGAGTACGTGGTTTTCAGAAAAAGGAAAGAAAAGGTTTATTGCTTTACTAGAAAAGGAGAAACACAGGGACTCCTGCCCTGAGGCTGTGAGTCTGACCATCAGGGAAAACCCAGCTGTTAAAGAGCTACTCAAAGACTTCCTTAAAGAAGGGGGTCCCACGCCACCCTGATGGTGTGTTGGGATTCCCTTGTCACTTCTAGGTCCTCTGGAGACATCTCCTTCCTGTGGAGCACAGATAACTCAGGGTAGTCTTGTTCCCTGCACTCAGGTTAGGGAGGAGGAGAGGGAGAAGAGGAAGAAAACCAGGTCCTTTAAAAAAAGGCCTCAGAGAACTTTGGAGTGGGCAAAGGGGGGGGAGAGGTTCGGAGGGGCCCGGGGGTAGGAAAGATGGTGGAATGAGAAGGACTTCATTACCCTGGGGATACATACGATCGCACAAATGGTGGGACTCTGCATCCTGCAAAACCAGAGAAATGAAACGTTGTGTTCCATTTGCATACAGTGAACCGAAATACATTCTGATGTCATGCCTAACTAATTAGAACAAATAAATAAAAGAAATGCTAAATGATCTATCTAAAATTTATGTAGTGAGCAGCTAAGAGATCTTGCTGTAAGGCACGTCTTTCCCATAGAGCTCTACTTCTGCCTTCTGCTGCTTCCCCACAAAGGGCAACGTGCTCACTCAGAGCTGAACCTCTCTTCCTTCCATGAGTAGCAAGTTCAGGGAGCCACATTCAATGAAATAGGAGACTCTAAGTTTAAAATATGGATTTCATTCACTAGAAATATAGAGTTCATCTGGGAAACAAGATATATATATGTGATTTCTATTGTTAAATTATCTGCTTTTTCTCATATAGAAAATAAAGCCATATATTATCCTGAAAAAAAAGAAAAGTCTCAGAGCCACTGAGGGGTATGATCACAAGGTAAACCACTCTTACCTATTTCTCTGTTAAATTACAAAGAAAAAGAAAAAGCTTTGGGCCCATGCTAACTCAGTATTCTTTATAGGCAATTTTTATCATCATTTATATTACTTTTCAAATTAAATTGTACCTTCTTTCCAAGGTAAATATTGTCAATTTTATTTTTTGGTATATGCTATATTTCCTCTAAAGCACACAGTAAGTACTCATTAAATGTGTGTGGTTATAACTCCACTATTGCTGATAATTATTCTTTAATTTATTCAGGATGGCAACTGACTCCTTGGAAAGACATTTCTTAGAGCCTGTGTCGGGAAAGTCCACCTCAGAAGCTGTGTGCAGCCAGCCACACTGGTCCTCGGAAAGCCTGACTCACCTCTTGCCCTCTGTTTGCCTTTCAGCCTATGAATTGCAGAACTGCCCGGACCCACCGCCTTTCCAGAACGGGTACATGACCAACTCGGATTACAGTGTGGGGCAGTCCATATCGTTTGAGTGCTACCCAGGGTACGTCCTCCTGGGCCACCCCGTCCTCACCTGTCAGCACGGCATCAACAGAAACTGGAACCACCCCTTCCCACGATGTGACGGTGGGTCCGTCGTCCTTCTCGGGGGCAGTTTAACTTCTCATGGTTGTAGCAGTGCAGCAAATATTAAATGAACATGTACAGCAATTCACCCATTTATTCAGCAAATATTTATTGAGAATCTCCTGTGTGACACTCACGCCACTTAGTAGTTTGGGAACATATCACCAAATATTAAAATGTTAAAAACCCAAATAGGTCCTGGTCTCAAGGGAACTATAAGGATGACAAGTGAATAAACAATTATACTGCAACCCCAGGCCAAGGAGCGGGTGGAGCGGAGGTGCAGAAGAAGAGAGGGAAAACAGCACCGAGCACAATGGTCCCTCAAAGTGTGAGATCAGAGGGGAGAAGGGTGTCTGTGGATTTGATCTGAGGTCTGTCTTCTTGTAATCGCACATCGCATTTGTGTCTCGTGACACCAAGTCCATTTTGCAGTGGGCCCTGATGGGCAGATAGTGCTTTGTGGACATAGAGAACCCTGAAGGTATAAGCAGGCTCGGAGCAGGAGCCCCGCAGTGCTTGGCCTTGGGGACTCCAGGGAGATGCTGTCAGGATCCTACAGATGTGGAGCATGACCCGGGCTCACTGGACGCCCCCTCCTCTGTGCTGGGTCCTTTCTCACAGATTCCCTATAACCTCCAATTTTTATCACTTAGATGTTTTTTCAATACCAAGGTGAAATGAATTGAGGAGGTACAGCATTTAGGAGGAATGATGTGTAACGGAAAATCTCCTGGAAACCCAGTGTTCTAGCCTTATAAACACAGTACCTTTGAACGAAGAAAGAAAGTGGCCAGCTCCGTGCAGCTTTGAAATGCTGAGCACTTTACCCCCGGTGAAAGGGAGAGACTATCCAGGTTTGGATTTCTACTGAAGAAGCAAAGCAAGCAAGTCAAGTAGACCTTAAAAGTCACAAATTTCACCTATATTATCCATTAAAAAACAATTATGAAGAGAATAATCTTGGCTGTACATGAAAATTTCTCATCTTGGCTCAATATTTATTATAAATTGGCTTTGTGAGACTAAGCATATGAGCAATTATTTGGTCTTTCTTTCATTAAGACATTTTTAAAAACCTTTAATTCTCACTACTTTCCACTTAAAAACACACTTAGGGCTGGAGTTGTAGCTCAGTGGTAGAGCAGGTGGTTAGCATGAATAGGTCCATCCTCCAGCACCACCTAGAAAACTGATATTTATATGCATAAATCACTTTGAAATTGCCAGAATTAAAATTATGTCTTATTTTTCCCTGAATTTTAATTCATGTAAAGTAGATTCCTTGGGTTGATATTGAAGAAGAATGATTAAATATTCAATTTGATTTCATTACTTTTAGTTGAATTTTACAATATGGAAAAAATTGGTTTGGTTTAGAATTATTTTGTTAGTATGAAAATAACCAAATACCCTTCTGCTGATGTACTTTGAAGTGAAGCCATATGTTCTAATTCCATCATGGTGTGGAATCCCACCCAGAGTCAGCCAGACTGTGAGACTTAAGCTTTCAGACTCCAAAACGAGCCTGGGGTCCAGTATCACAGAAACTCACGAAGGTAGAAGAAACTACAACATGTTCATCAGTGCTAACAGGAAAAGGGGTGTGGGAGTCGTCCAGCCGGAGGACACACGGGCAGGGAGGAGAGGACACACTGCTCGCTCTGCATCAACCTGCAACCACATACAGAGTGCCGCCCACCTGGAATGCTCACCTGAACCGTAGCATCAAAGTCTCTATGGGCTGCGTCCCATGGACATGGGTGATTGCCTGCTGAGACCCAAGTGGACAATCAGAGTCACAACCAGCCTGAATCCCACCATAGGTCTTCCAGGTGTGGCCACGAGCCCCCCCAGCACTACCAGTGGTACCAGCCTCACCCCACTCCAAGCCTTCCTGCAGGTGTCCAGGGGGACCTCCCAGAGCTACAGCCAAGGCCAGATCCCTTTGTGGCGGAGAACTTTACCAGACCAGGATTCTTAGTTATGGTTCTTTTTTTTTTTTTTTTTTTTTTTTACCAATAAGGTCATGAACAGTATAAAAAAAAAAAACAAAAAAAAAAACTGCAGCATGAGATTCACCTAAAATTGTATCATAACATGAGATTTGGTTGCAATTAGAGGGGCTATCCAGAAGACTTCCTGAAGGCCCTCAATGTGTGTTAGCACCCTGCCCACACTGGATGCAGTAAGAACATAAGCCCGCGGAGCATTTCCACCCAGGAGTTCATGTGCCTGTGGAAGGTAATAGTTCGAGTTATAAGAAGACTGTTTGAGAAGCGAGATGGGACTTCCGAGATGCACTCTAGCTTTCGGGGCTCCACAGCCCTGCACGGAGACTCTGGCACCTTCTGCTGACCGTATGGAGTCCTCAACTGAGGCATCTGTCACTAGTGCCTGGTGCCGCCCACGGCCACCAGATTCATGGCAGCGGCACAGGACAGTTGTGCTGAGAAGGCCCTTCAGGGTCCAGTGCTGTCAGATTCAAAGCACTTCAGAAAGGACCAGGTACTTGGAATGACTTCCTTAGAGCTGGCTTCCTGAGAGCTGGCCAGCGCTGACCTTTAACAGCATCCGTCTGCCCAAGGAAATGTTAAATGAATTTGGATTAATATGCTGAAAGTATTTTCATGTTAAGCCATAAAAGACCCTATTTTGTAAAATTACCTGAAAAGCTATGATCTAAAACAATGATGTCTATTAAAACAAAAGAAAAAATATGTCCCAAAGTAATGAGAAATTCAAAACATAATGTAGCTATAATATATACATTTTTTCAATAGCATAATTACACAGAAATTTCATTTCAACAAAAGTGTTACAATTGTCAAAACATGCTTTAAAAGGCTATAGCTTGTTAATTTTTTATGTAATTTGATAATTATATATTTGTCTATACTTAGAAAAGTAGTTGAAAAATTTCAAATATTTTATTGGCCTAATTAATTCTTTACCACTGAAAAATTATGTAGGTATAGTTTTAAGATATTTTAAGTAAATTTAATCCCTGTCGCACTCTCATGACATGTCTCACGGTAAAGTATTCAACTGCGTGTAGAGTGGGAAGTTGTGTAGAACCTCATTATTAGGGTAGCTAATATGTACTCTTTGAGTTTAATAGATTTCCTAAGCAGAGTACAATTTAATTGCATAATTGGCACAAGTCATTTAGCCACCCAAGCAACATAAAAAGTTATGTACATTCTTTTTAGAAGTAGATTTTGCCAAATTGACTGGTAAATATAGAAATTAATCTCTCCTTATAGTTTAGAATAAAAATGACTACAAAGAATGTAATTCTCTCTTTATTTTCTCTTATTTTTATTCATAAATACTGTTTTTAAACTCTGCTTGCCAAAAGAGGACTTTCTGTTGATCAGCTTCCATTGCTAGGACCAAAATACCTAAGAAGAGCAACTTAAAGCAGGGAGTTTATTTTGGGGTCACGGTATGAGAGGTTCACTCTCTGATCATCCCAAGGTGAGGCAGAACTTCAGCCTAGAAGAACATGGTGCAGGAAAGGTGCTCAGGCAGTGACAACCAGAAGGAGAGAGAGCTAGAGGGGCTGGGGACAGATATACTTCCCAAAGCCACACTCCCAGTGACCTGTTTCCTACAGTCACACCTCACCTGCCTGCAGTTACCACCTAGTTATCCATTCACATTATTAATCCACTAACTCATCAAATGGATTAATCCACTGTTGAGGCCACAGCTCTCATAATCTAATCATTCCATCTCTGAACCTAGCTACGCAGCCTAGCATGAGCGTCTCGGGACATCTCATATCCAAACCATAGCAGCCTCCTGTGGCAGAGTGCACCATCCCTTACCTGAAAACCGTCCCTAGGAAACCGACCTAAGGGAAGGGAATCATGGGGCCAGCCACACCTGGTGCTCCCCAGGTGAGACTGAGGCATACCTGGTGCTTCCCAGGTGAGACTGAGCCACATCCTGGTGCTCCCCAGGTGAGACTGAGCCACACCTGGTACTCCCCAGGTGAGACAGAGCCACACCTGGTGCTCCCCAGGTGAGACTGAGCCACACCCTGGTGCTCCCCAGGTGAGACTGAGCCACATCCTGGTGCTCCCCAGGTGAGACTGAGCCACACCCTGGTGCTCCCCAGGTGAGACTGAGCCACATCCTGGTGCTCCCCAGGTGAGCCTGAGCACTCAGCGCTTGGACATAAATATCCAAGAGTTCATAAGCCAGGAGTATCACACTAAATGGATTTATTGGTGTTTTAATACTGGAAGATGTTTTTTCTCTTTCTCACACTTTTAAGTTTAAGCAGCAATCTTAGTACAATTCTAGAGAAAACTCTAAATATCTGTAATTCTCTCAGTGGACTTCACTGGTTTCACAATGTGAATTGTTTTGATCCTTGTTGGAATAGCACTGCTAATGTTTAAGGAGAGAAGGCACAGGTGCCCCACTGAGCACCTCCCAGCTCCCACTGCCCTCTGCACCTGAGCCCACGTGTGGGGGAAGGCAGGGGATGCCCTTCCCACACCCACTTCTGTGCAGTCCAGTGGGAGGTCACCGGAGGAACCCACAGGTGCCCCTGCTGCCACTCAGGAGGGCACTGACTTCTGGGAACCAGGTGGCATGGGGAGGGACTTACACGGTGTTTTACAGTCCTCCTCTGCACACAGGAAGGGGACATGATTTTGCCCTGAGAAAGTTTCCCCTGCACTGACAGGAACGTCACTCTCAGGACAGGAGTATCTGATCCTCCCTGAGGGCACTGTACCACCTTAGTTCCACACTCTTCAGAGCATGTTTGATGGCCTCTGTCACCATCCCAGAGGGTCCACCACGGCAGGAACCAGGCTCCCTTGCTCACTGCTCTGTCCTAGCCCCAAACGCTTCTTGGGACACAATAGACTCTCAATTAGTGCTCCTTGCCTGAGTGAAAGGGAGGATTTGTTATCTGGGTTTCATGTATGAAGCAGAACAAAGGTAGGGGCCTTGGTCGCTGAGGAAGAGCTTTTGAGTGACAACATGCTAGAGGTCAAGGGTCATCTGCCAGGACACTCACGTCAGCTCTCTGGCCTTAGAGTGGAGACTGGTGCTCGATTTGCTTTTCCCCGTGGGAAGGGTGATCTCTGTGCAGGTGGTCCTGTCATTACCAGAGTCAACTTGTAAACAAGAGCTCACCGTGCCCTGGCCTCACCAAAGGTGCAGAAACGGGGCTCTGAGTGTTCTCTGCTTTGCTAGGTTATAAATTGGGGTGTCTGAATCCAAACCCTACTTAGGTCTCAGGCTTCTCAAATGCTCTCCCCAGCCCTTCCCCATGACTTGGCGGGAGCCTTGGCCAGCTGTGGTCCGTTTGACATGGGTGCACGCCCTCACTGATGTCCCTGGGTGTTGATCTGTGTGGTCATGCGTGGCCTGTGCTGCCTCCTCAGTCCTTACTTTGAGCCGTTACTACACTTTTCTTCTTGTCTGTCTGCTTGTGGGCTCTGGGCTCTTGGCTGCATCTAGTGAATGTCTCTCCTGGCCAGTCTTTGATGGTCCTGGAAGATCCTATAGTGGCCCTCAGTGGTGGCTGCTTTTGGTTTTATTTTAAAGTCTACTTGTCCACGACTTTGATGTGCAATCCTCCATTTGAATTAACGACTACATTTCAAATTGTTCTGGTAATACCTGGCCATATCACTTTTCTGTAAGTGAAATAATTGCCATGGCAACAATAAATGTCAATTTATTCAGTAAAATAAAAATAGACTGTGCACGGGGATTCTTCACATAACTTGACATTAGTAGACATGGAACTACTTCAGGAAAGAACCACTGACATAATTTTGCCTTGCTTCTTGAGCTATGTCTCTGCAGAGAATTGGTAGCATCTTTGCTCCAAGGCAGTGGGCTCAGACGCCCCCTGTGGACAGCTTACATAGGCTTTAGGGCCATGACTTAACCCAGAAACACCAGATATGTGTTCCTGTGTCATTTCCACATGGCCCTTGACATCGGACCACAGGGGTTATCAGCTCAGTCCCAGGTGATGGGCATGTGTCCTCATGTGGGAGTGACCGTCCAGAAGGCAATTGGAAGATCTGGAGACTGTATCTAGTGAGGCTGAGAGAACTCGGGTTAGAAGTGTGAGTCTTCCGCAGGTTCCCGGTTTGGGGGAACCGCTTTGGCAACCCTGAGAAGCACCTCAGTCACCTCTCACCGGGGTGCTTTGGCTGAGAGCTCTGCCCCCTGCACCCCCTGGCACCAGGCTCACTGTGGATCTCTTCCTTCAGCTCCTTGCGGGTATAACGTGACGTCCGAGAACGGCACCATCTACTCCCCTGGCTTTCCAGACGAGTACCCGATTCTGAAGGACTGCGTCTGGCTGATCGCGGTCCCTCCGGGGCACGGGGTGTACATCAACTTCACCCTGCTGCAGACGGAAGCTGTGAACGACTACATCGCTGTCTGGTAGGTGCACAGCCCGGCAAAGCCTGTGGCCACCCAGGACCTGTCCACCCCACCTTCACGCCTCCTGTGGAGCAGACTACAGTTCCCAGTGAGCGGGTAGATAGGTGTAGAAAAGAGGCTCACCAGCAAAGTCCAGAGGTGGAGAGGGTGGATTTCAAGGTGGACCTTTACGTCTTGCTACATGGTGGAGATGTCCAGGATTATTTTCAATATATGAGAATATTTGAAACATTTTTTAAAAAATATTTTATTGGTGCATTAAAATTGTTCTTATTAGTGGGATTCACTGTTACATATTCATACATGTACACAGAAAATTTGGTCACTTTCATTCCCAGTAAAATTATTCTATTTTAAGTTTTTTGTTTGTTCTTTGGGGATTGAACACAGGGCACTTAGCTCTGAGCCACTTCCTCAGCCCTTTCTTGTATTTTATTTAGAGACACTCTCATGAGTTGCTTAGCGCCTCACGAAGTTGTTCAAGCTGGCTTTGAACTCACGATCCTCCTCCCTCAGCCTCTAGAGCCTCTGGGATTACAGGAGTGCGCCACCACACCTGGCTTCTGTTTTACATTTTTAAATGTTATTTTTTTTCCTAAAAGAAAAGGTGTGGGATCCTTTGCTGTTGTTGGATGTTTCTAGAAATATTGAGGACACGGTTACTCAGGGACCAGTTGCTACTTGGCCCAACCAGCCCTGATACTGCTGTGGAGCTGGCTTTCCTGGGGCTGTGGGGTGACCCTGAGCGGGTGGGGTGAGGCTGGCTCTGTCTGTGCAGGACTGAGGCCTGGGGAAGGGCTCCCCAACCCTGGAGTTCTGAGGTGAGAGTGCAGAAGGGACTGGGGTCGACTGTGGCCCTGCGATACCAGGGTGGGAGGGAGAGGCCCTCCAGGGGAGGGTTGTGTGGCTGGAATGAACTGCATGGAGACTAAAGGAACTACAGTAGTGTGTGTGCGTGTGTGTGTCTGTGTGTGCATTTGTGTGTGCGCGTGTGCAACGGGGCCAACCTCTGCGTGCAACGTGGCTGACCTCTCCTTAGAGCCCACAGGGAGGGCAGGAGGTGGCTACAGCAGGGCAGGTGCCAGGGCCTGGCTGACTCATGATGCAGATGTAGGCTTTATTCTAGGGGCACTAAGATGGCCTCGGGGTGCCCAAGCAGGAGGGATTGGAAGCCGGGTTTTGGTTGCAAATATCTGGTCTTATTTGGGCATGCATAGATGCAGAGGGCGGGGAGAGATAGGCTGGCTTTTGGATCAGTCCTGAGGGGGTGAGAAGGGGGACCCCATGGCCCTGAGAACGAGGAGCAGATCCTGGGGCGAACACGGAGAGGTCACAGTGCAGCTCCACATAGAGGATGCTATCGGAAGGCAGAAAGGTCTGGACACTGAGGATGTCCAGTGCCCACGCCCGGGCTGACGTCACCTCGAGAGAGACTGCAGAGTCGACTGTGGATATCAGACACTAAACCCAGTCCAGAGGATGGTTATGTTTTATTGTCTTACAAAATGCTTCAATTCTGTTGTAAAAGTCTCCATGGATCTCCCTCCTGATTAGAGACTCCAGTGCATTTAGACTCTGGGCGAGGGACTTGGATAGGAAGCTGGAGAGTGGCCTTGCAGGCACTGAGGTGCCAGCCCACAGAGGAGGGGCACTGTCTGCTCCTGCAGGCGGGAGCTCTGGGGCCAGGACAGCGTGCTCTTCAGCCGAGGGCGCCCTTGTTCCAAAGGCTCTGTCTGTGTTCCTAGGGACGGTCCTGACCAGAATGCACCGCAGCTGGGCGTCTTCAGCGGGAACACAGCCCTGGAAACTGCTCACAGCTCCACCAGCCAAGTCCTGCTCAAGTTCCACAGCGACTTTTCAAACGGAGGCTTCTTTGTCCTCAATTTCCACGGTCAGTTCCCTTCCCTCCCTCTGAGGAGGACAGAGAGTTCGGGAGCTGTCTCCCCTGGGACTGACCCCACTCTGCACCAGCTCCAGCGCCTCAGGGCTGCCATTGACACTCTGTGGTATGGCCCTGCGTTGGGGCCGGAGTTTCCTGGGGCCCTTCATGGTTTGGGGACGTCTTTGTGATGGCTTCTCCTGTTGCCACGTTGTCGCGGTCACTCCTTCATGTGGTGCTGTGCTGTGTCACAGCAGGCTTGGACTCATTCCAAAATGAAGAAGCCGCCGCTCTGTGCGGAACGCAAGGAGGTGCAGGGAAGCAGTCACCCTGTGGTCCTGCTGGCGGTAACCTTGGTGTCCCTGGACCTCATCTGTCACTTGGGGTGCAGGGATCACACGCCCCTGGGGGATGGGAATTAGTAGGCGGCGATGTGTACCTGTGGTGCTGCAGTGTGCGCGTGGTAGCTTTGGGAGGAAGAGTTTTGTAATATTTTTGCTTATTCAGTAAATGCAGCTGTCTTTGTTATTCTGTTTTCTTGGACCCTCAGCGTTTCAGCTGAAGAAGTGCCCACCTCCACCGGCAGTCCCGCAGGCAGACATGCTCACTGAGGACGAGGACTTTGAAATAGGTAACATGTCCTTCATTATAGCATCCCTGCCTCTGCCTGCAGTCCCTGTGCAGATGGGCCAGCTGGTTAGGAATAAAGGTATCCTCTAGCCTACTGGGGCCTGTGCAGAGATCAAGACAAAATGCCGCCTTTCTCCAATACCAGAATCATCACTCCCTCTGCCATTTGACTTTCACTCTTGTCATCTGGAGCCTTTCCTCACCTAAGGAATTTACCACTTGGTCTGCTTCTCACCACGTTCAGAGACAGACTTGGGCAGGTCTCGGTGTCTCATGAGGGAGATGCCCACACCCTTCAGGAAAGAGGACCTGATCATTTGTAGCTTAAAGAATGGTGACTGCAAGGTCGCCCTTTCCTCAGGCCGGGCTGTGACTGCCAGGGCACGTTGATGGTGACATTCTGAGTCTGGCATTGTCACTTCCATCAGCGGTCTCCTTCATGCAGTGGTCATGTGGTCATGTGAAGGAAGAAGCCAGAGCACAGGTTTGCCATGTAGTCATGTGACCCAGGGTTTTTTAGTCCCAATTAGAAGCGTCTCAACCCATCTGCAGGCCACGTCGCAGGCCTGGCCACGCTGTGTGACTAGCAGCTCTACTTCACCCTTCACAGCTCGGTTGGTGGGAACCTTGGCTCCTGAGGCCAAGGTCACAGAGCAGCCCTGTTGGGGTGCAGAGCCCCCATCACCCCTCCCTGCTGCCCTGCCCCAACCTAGGCACCCTCACACTATTTGGATAGAGGTTGGGGAAGGGAACAAACAGACGTGTCCATGAAGGAAGAAGACACCCGCATCATTTCTGGAGCAGCACAGGCTGAGTTTAGGGTGGCATTTTATGAACCAAGAGCCTAGAACGGGAGCTTCTGGACAGACGGGAAGCAGACCCTGCTCTGGGGTGGCTCCTCCGTGGCTGGGCAGCTCAGTGGGCTGCTGTGCATGTTGCTGCACCCTCTCTGAGCACCCTGGAAGCACAGTTCTGTCGTGTTGTCTCGACTCTTTCAGGAGGTTTCGTGCGGTACCAGTGCCACCCTGGCTACACCTTGTCGGGCAGTGACACGCTGACCTGCAAGCTGGGCTCCCAGCTGCAGTTCCAAGGCTCCCTCCCAACCTGTGAAGGTAAGCCCCAGCCGCCGAGCCGCCAGGTGCAGAGCGCTGGTCTCCCCCTGCCTGGGTGGGCGTGGTCCCTGTGCTGTGAGCCCACCGTGGGGAACAGCTCCAATGGGAACATCAGAGCCCTTTCTCCTTTAGCGGGCCCTGGAAAACAATCCGCGCCCCGCAGAGAAGCCTTGTGTCTCCCCACAGTTCATGAAAACTCTCAAACCCAGGGAAACCTTGAAATGGTTTTAAAACAAACACCTGGACCCTGTGGAGGCCCTGCGGACGTTTGCAGCTTTCCTGTGTCACAGCTTTCTATGCTTCCTTTCCATCTGCTGATCTACCTCTATCTTTTTGTGCATTTCAAGGCAGAATTTGTGTATCATGGAAATTCCCTGTCAACACGTCAGCGTGGATATGATTAGCTGGTATTTAATCTTTGGGGTACAAAATGTATAAACAAATGAAAAGTAGACATTTCGTGTTTTACACATTCCCTTTAATAGAACACATGCAAGAACTTAGATGATCCATAATAACAGAAGAAGATTTGAGACTTGCATCCACAGATCCATTGACTAGAATAGCATTAGATCAATTTAAAACAGCTTCGAAGGGCACCACTTTCAAATTCCTTTGGAAGAAAAGGCTTGACAACTACAAATAATCTTCAGTGGCCCAAATAAAATCAGCAGTGCCACCAGTTCACCTTCAAAAGCTGCCAATTTAAATTTTAAAAGATGCCCCAATGCAAATGCTGGGCCACTGAACAGCAGACTCCCCCTCTCCAAGAGTCGGAATATGCTAGTCCCAGGGGAGGGTGCAGCCGCTGAATGGACTTTAAATTTGGAAAGAGAAGACCCCGTCCAGGTCCAGTGACTGGGGCAAGTCGCTAGTCCCCATCCATCACGAAGAGGGAAGATGGTTCATCGCCTTACTTAGGAAAGGAAGGAGAAATGGAGTGTCGCTGTGAGTGCTGTGTGCTGTGACTGCGACCCGGCATGAGGCAGGTGGTTCTGCAGGGTCAAGTGTGGGTTTTGAGGTGACTTTGTGAGCACTCACAGATGGAGAAGGTCCCCTCTGACATCTGGTGACTGTGCATCCTCACTACATCAGATGGCGGCATCCCAGTCACCTCGAGAGGGGAGAATTCCCAACATCTGAAACAGCGGCATTCTGATTGGACTCAAGCACTGCTGCGCACTCACGATGCCTATGTTATTTAGAAATCAGCTTTGAGGTTGCATCTGCAGGAATGCCACACCAGCAGAGCAGCTTCCTTTGAGAAGTCGCTGAAACTGGGCCTCCTGTCCCCTATCCAGAAGTCAGGGGTCACACTGGTGAAGCACACCAGAGCCACTTTCTCGGAAAAGATCAGTGTTCACTTCACCAAGGCAGCAATAATCTGCTTTTGAATTTTCTTTCCAAAACGGAGGATATATATTGTGCAGCTTTTGCCATTTCACAGAATTTTTTAACAGAAAAATAATCACAAGGGCATATTCTTTTATTTATTTATTTGTCTTTTTCCATATTTTTACAGTTGTACACAATGGTGGGTTTTGTTGCTACACTTTGTGCTTGTGTACAATATGACTATATGGTTTGGCCAATGTCATTCCTTGGTCATTTTTTATAAAATTAACAGAGGCAAGTCTTTACATTTTTAAGGTACATTTTCACCCCGCCAAATGTAGGCTCAAGTTTCTCAAAAGGGACGACTTCAAGCAAGGAGCTCCCAGTGGACATTTGAAGAAAGGCAAATTCGCATACTAACATGCCCATCCCCAAACAAGGTACCTACTACCTTTACTGCACGTGCAGAGTAACCTAGTTTGTGCTCAGTGGAGCAGACCAAGGCAACCCAGATGGCTCTCCACATGACAGGGCTCCCCTGTGTTCCACGGGCTGCAGACTCACCCTGCGCAGGCTGCACACCCCACGCCCTGCCCAAGTAGCAGCACAGGCTCAGGACAGCCCAGGACTCTGCTCTTGGAACTCAGGAGCAAACTCTTTAATGGAACTGAAAGCATCTTAGTTGTTCTTCATTCAACCCCTCATTATCTAGAAACAGGAAATAGGAGCTCAGATGTCTTTCACCCAATCCTTAATCTCTTAAGCACCTAATTACACTTTTTCTTTAAGTACTTCCTATTATTTGACTGACTTGATTGAGCTCAAGTGAGGTCAATCCCAAGGTAAATTCTCAGGGAGACAATGTATTCACTCTTAATCCCACTTCCTCTATGTCCGGACTCAGTTTTAGAAGTTGAGCTTTGAAAGCCATGAACAATTTGGGGGAGACATGGGGAAGACTGTAGTGTGTTCTTTGGAAGATAATATCACAGGCAGATAAATAGGACCATGTTAGATACCTACTCTAAACAATGAGGAGACATATGCCAGAAGGGAAGAGAATCAGAAAGGCTGGGAGACTAGGGCAGCTGGCCTCCGGGAAGGTGGGCCTGGATCCTTGCAGTTTGCTCTTAGGGTGAAACCTGACCAGGGCCCTAGTTGAAAAGGTCCTGGTTGCATCTGCATGGAGCCAGCAGGTTCAGGAATGCCACACCATAAGAGCAGCTTCCTTTGAGAAGTCGCTGAAACTGGGCCTCCTGTCCCCTATCCAGGAGTCAGGGGTCACACTGGTGAAGCACACCAGAGCCATTTTCTCGGAAAAGATCAGTGTTCACATCAGCAAGGCAACAATGATCTGCCTTTGAGTTTTCTTTCCAAGATGGAGGATATATATTGTGCAGCTTCATCCATGTCACCCTGGGCATCTACAGAGATTCCAAACAGGCATTTAAAGAAAATCAGAAACTTGCATATTCAATGAACACTGGAGAGAAGCAGTGGCCACCTGGTAATGCCCACTCTTCTGGAGAGCACTGAGGGAGGCCACATAAGAGCTGGCCAGTGCTGTGTCCTGGCTGTGGGTGGCCCCCGCCTGCTCCTCAAGGTCCCGGGCAGCAGCTCTTCCCACCTACCGAGGAGTCCTCTCAGCTCCACCATCCCTCGTGCCTGTGGGTGTTGTTGAGCCTCAGTCTTGCTGGGCAGGTGCGGCACGTCCGCAATCCCAGCTACTGCAGAGGCAGAGGCAGGACGACTGCAAGTTTGAGGCCAGTCTGGAAATTATTTTTTAAAAAAAGAAGTGGGGGCCGGGGATATAGCTTGTAGGCGCAGGGTTTTCCTAGCATGCATGAGACACTGGGCACCATCCCTAGTATAAAAAAGAAAAAAGAAATCTTAATTACTAGAAATCCTGATGTGCGCTCCTAATCCGGAATCACTAGTCCTAATCCTGTATGGCTTGGCTGGAGACCCGGCTCGTAGGACGGATGCATTAAATAACATGCTTCATGTTCTTAAGTCCCACAGTCGATTTTTTTTAAAACAATCTGGAGGAATCATGTGCGAGGGCTGGTGTCTCCAAGCCAGGCACAGGTCTCAGAGGCAAGCTGCTTTCCTGGGGTGGGATGTGCCCCACAGGGCCCTGTGGGGACACAGTGTGCCTTTAAGCCTGCGACTGCTGCAGGAGGAAGTGCCTCTGGAAGCTCCCCGGGAAGGTGCTGCTCCTGGCAACAGATCCTGTGGGGAGGAGAAGCCACAGGGGCCCCAGGAACAGACAGGCGGCAGCCGCTGGGCCCTCTGCAGGCACCCGCCCAGGCGTCTCTGGACCCAGACACAGGCTGAAGAAGTGGGGCCAAGTGTCGTGAAAACGTGATGTAAAGGGCTTGGTGGATTCTTCATTTCATCTTCTCTAAAAAGACCAAAGCAGCCTCTTAGAATGGAGGGAAGATGGCTGGGCTCAGAGCCGCGTGGCAGTGGGAGCCGCTGCCCTGCTTGCAAGCCCTGGTGTGCTCTCCCCTCCCCTGGGGGATTTGGGCAACTCCCTGGAGAGTTTCCTGGGTCCCGAGGGTCTGGAGGCCAGGGCCCCTAGTAACTGTAGCTGCCATGAGGAGACACACAGGGTGCCAGGGCAACACCAGGATGCAACGGCCCCCAGCACCTTCACCTGGGAGGAGGCCGGCAGGCGTGCAGTGGACCCACCTCCTGTCCCTATGACGTTCTGTCCACTCTGCCAGGGAAGCTCTGGCTCTGGCTGCAGACTCCAGGAAGGCTGTGCGCCTCCAGACCCAGGTTGGCCTGCGCGGGTTCTCAGACACAGCCCCGACTCCCTGGGCCTCTCCTGGAGAAGCAGCACCTGGGTGGGGCAGACACCATGTGTTCACAGATGCACCTTTACCACTGTTGTAGGAGGAAGTAGAATTTAAAATGTCTTTAAATTTTAAAATGTATTTATTAGGTATATATGACAGCAGCATGCATTTTGATTCCTTGTACACAACTGCAGCACCACTTTTCCTTTCTCTGATTGTACATGATGTAGCAGTCATAGAGGTACCTAGGGTAATGATGTCCATCTCATTCCACCATCTTTCCTGCCCTCATGCCCCCTCCTTGCCCTTCCCTCCACTTTGCCCAAAGTTCCTCCGTGTTCCCCATTCCCGCCTGCCCCCATGGATCAGCATCAGAGAGAACATTTGGCCTTTAGTTTTTTGGGATTGGCTTACTTCTCTTAGCTTGATATTCTCCAAGTCCATCCATTTACCTGCAAATGCCATGATTTTATTCTCTTTTAATGCTGAGTAATATTTCATTGTGTATATACACCACAGTTTCTTTATCCACTCATCTATTGAAGGGCATCTAGATTGCTTCCACTGTTAAGCTATTGTGAATTGTGCTGCTATAAACATTGATGTGGCTGCATCACTGTAGTATACTGTTTTTAAGTCCTTTGGATATAGACCGAGGAGAGGGACAGCTGGGTCAAATGGTGGTTCCTTTCCCAATTTTCCAAGGAATCTCCATACTGCTTTCCATATTGGCTGCGCCAGTTTGCAGTCCCACCAGCAGTGTATGAGTGTGCCTTTTTCCCCACATCCTCACCAACACTTTTTTTTTGTTTGTATTCTTAATAGCTACCATCCTGACTGGAGTGAGATGGTATCTTAGAGTAGTTTTGATTTGCATTTCTCTAATTACAAGAGATGTTGAACACTTTTTCATATATTTGTTGACCAAATGTGAATCTTCTTCTGAGAAGTGTCTGTTCAGCTCCTTAGCTCATTTATTGATTGGGTTTTTTTGTTGTTGTTGTTGGTGGTGGTTTTTTTTTTTTTTTTTTTTTTTTTTTGGTGTTAAAGTTTTTGAGTTCTTTATATATCCTGGAGATTAGGGCTCTATCTGACATGTGTGTGTGGCAAAAATTTGCTCCCAAAATGTAAGCTCTCTATTCATCTCATTGATTGTTTCTTTTGCTGACAAGAAGCTTTTCAGTTTGAGTTCATTCCATTTATTAATTCTTAATTTTGCTTCTTGCACTTTAGGAGTCTTATTAGGGAAATCAGGGCCTAATCCAACATGACGAAGATTTGGGCCTACTTTTTCCTATATTAGGTGCAGGTCTCTGGACTAAATCCTAGGTCCTTGATCCACTTTGAGTTGAGTTTTGTGCAGGGTGAGAGACAGGGGTTTAGTTTCATTTGGCTGCATGTGGATTTCCAGTTTTCCCAGCACCTTTTGTTAAAGAGGCTATCTTTTCTCCCCTATATGTTTTTACTGCCTTTGTCTAGTATGAGCTAACCGTATTTATGTGGGTTTTTCTCTGTGTCTTCTATTCTCTACCAACCATTGGTCTGTATGTCTATTTTGGTGCCAATACCATGCTGCTTTTGTTACTATAGCTTTGAAGTATAGCTTAAAGTCTGGTATAGCAATGCCTCCTGCTTCACTCTTCCTGCTAAGGATTGCTTTAGCTATTCTGAGTCTCTTATTTTTCCAAATGAATTTCATGATGGCTTTTTCTATAAGAAAATAGAATTTGTAAGTGGATTGTTTTGGTTTGTGACTGATAGGATTATTTTGGATTATATTGTTACCTTTGATTCATCTTTGTGAACATTTAAAAAATCCTACCTATAACACTTCTACAAAAGCTTCATCATTGGTGGTTTTGTCCCTCAACATTTTCTAAATTTGGAGGTAATTTCAATTAGAACACCAAGGTAGATGGAGGAACATAGGGAAGTGTGCCTCTTCACAGAGTTGCTTGAACAAGACATATTTCATAAACTCTGCTCATCTGTTTAAGGGTCTTATTGTGAAATGAATATATAAATAATACATATTTAGCTAATTAAAAGGGAATAACTCAATAAATAAGTTATATTTCTTCTGAAGCAAAAGCGCATTTTCTTGAGGAAAATTGATATTAAACTTCTCAAATATTCTGAGAATGGTTCTGGGGCAGCCAGCCATTATTAATAATAGAAATTATTTCCCCTTATTATTCTATAAGCACACTACTTTAGGAACATAATACAATTAAGCAATGAGAGGAGAGAGTAACTAAGGGAGCCTGCTGATTTTCTTTTGCACATTCATAGTTCATACCTGTTCAGGTTGTTTATATTTTAATCAACCTGGAGGGAGTTGAACAAGAGAACTGGGAAGGAGGAGGAAGGTGCGTTGATATAGCCCCAGTATGTCAGTGATTTATTCACAACATCCCAGAAATTATGGCTCCTGCTGCCCACAAGAAACTGGGGTCCGAGGTGGGCCCCAGGCCAGGATGTCCAACTCATCCTGTTCCCAGGGTCCCAGGTGGTCACACCCAGTGTTTAAATTTCACTATTCTAAGTATATCAAAGGCTGAAATAAATAAGATTTCTGTTTTTACAGTTTTCTCTTATATTTCTTTTGTTGTGTCACACTGTCCTCATTGGGGGAGGGGAGAGCTTTCTTTGTGGTTGTGATGGGAATATCTGAGGTCTTGTGATGAGATCCACAGGGAACCTGCCCAGACGCAGGGGGACGCAGCAGGCAGAGGCCTGCGCAGGCTGTGCGGTACTGGCCGGGGGTGCTGCTTGCTGTTCCAGGGGCTGCCTCGGTGGGCACCGCGTGAGCTTGGCCAGAGCTCTGGACGGTGCCTTTCCTTCTCCCTGTCCTGTGTGTGTGGGGAGAGAAACTGTCCTCTTGAAGCTGGGTCACTTTGTTAAAGCACAGCTTTGTGGGTACTTCTCTCTTCAGCACAGTGCCCAGCGAATGAAGTCCGGACAGAATCTTCTGGAGTGATCCTCAGCCCAGGGTACCCAGGCAACTACTTCAACTCCCAGACATGCTCCTGGAGCATTAAGGTGGAGCCCAACTTTAACATCACCATCTTTGTGGACACGTTCCAAAGCGAGAAGCAGTTTGATGCCCTGGAAGTATTTGATGGTAAGATTCCTCAGTCTTTGCACAGCAGCGATTCATTCGTTCACACACCTACCTAGTGGATCCTCCTCAGTTACATCACATCTTCCCCAAACTAATCAAACCACAGCGGCCACTCAGATTGTGAGTTCCAGCAACCTGGGGGCCTCAGTCTCCCCACGCTTTACTTTAATGTGGGGATTTACAGCAGGTGATCACAGGCAGCCTTTCCCAGGTGTTAATGATTCACTAGGTATGTTAGGAAAATTAACAAGTCTTGGGTATTTTAATAACTGGGAATGACAGTTTTACTAGAAATGCACAAAAACAGAGGCTCACAGAGACTTCCAGCTGGTAAAGCAAGAGTCTGTAATGTTTACAGTTTTTAAAAGAATAAAATAGTTAGCTAAACACATGCTAATACTGTATTCAGCAAAAAAAAAAAAAAAAAAAAAAACTTGTGATTTTTATACAATTCTAATGATCATTTAGCTTAATGGTGCACATGGTTGAATTGTCAAATTGAAATGAAGCCGCTGTTGATAATCCTCTTTGTGCAAATAGAAGAATCACCATGCCCAGGTGGTCGACCAGGATATGGTAATGTCTGAACATAATAATGGCTTTCTCATGTTTTGACAGATTGGTTATTGAGTTCAATTACACCATGATTCAGTGAGAAGAGTGCTCCGCTCTTGTGGTTTGTATACATCTCACTGATTCGATGAGCCACCATAGTCAGTTGCTGGTGTGGATAGACCCACGTGAACCAGTTTGTGTGTTTCTGAAGACTAACCACTAAACTGGAAATCAAACTCCCATGTTATGTGTAGAAACAGGGGACCGGAGAGCACCAGGGGCCAGGAGGGTGTTTGTGTTTGTTTTGAGGTGTACATCCACACACGCACTTGAAGACTTTCCCCTCAGTCTGTAAGAGGAAGGCAATGTATGCAAGTGCAGAATTAGTGCTGGTTAGACCCAGGAGGGAGGCAGGTTGGTGTAATGCTGAGGCCCATCAGGTGTCCCAGGGGTGCACACAAGGGTCGCAGCTCCCTACTGCTGTGAGTCTACATGTGTACACACGCAGGTTCCTATACATGCCACATGTCCTTAAACACAGGTACATATTATTGTCAATTTATACTTGCTCTTTTATTTCACATTAGTTGAATTGGAATGTAGCTGAAGGTACTTTTATGTGTTTTAATTTCAGAAGAAAAATTCTTATCAATAATTTAAGCTCTAATTACTTGCAATTTGATTTCCCAAAATACAGACAGACCAAGCCCATCATAAACAATAAGCAAAGTAGACCATAGAGACGATGTCATAGCAGTTACTGTCAAAATTATCAAGGATCTATGACTGTATTGTTCTACTCTCAAAGATTTTTCTATAAAGTGAAATGTCAGAGTTTTATATGAATAACATTTTTTAAGCAATGGCATTTTTGCTGCAGTAAATGTCATGTACATCTCCTTTTAGGTTAGACAGAGACTCTTTTATTGTCTGAGTGGACAGAAAACACGTTGAATATACTGATTTTAAATTTTATGAGCCCAGGAGTGACTCAGTTGTGAAAGTCCCACAATTTTTAAAAATAGGATTTTAACCTTTGTAGAACTTGGTTGAGAAAAGTGTCAGAATAAAGATTGCAGGTGCCTGATGATTGCTTGCTGTGTCCATCCTGGATGAATACTTGCTTGTGTCCATCCTGGTGACCATAAATGACAGTGTCCCTTTGTTCTGGTGGCTGCTTCTGCACAGGCTAGTTGGGTGTGTGCTTTTAAAGAAGAGTCCTAGAAAGCCTGCTGCAGCCTAGGAAGAACACATGGGAAGTGGGGAGGGATTTGATGTGGATTAACAGCTCCTGAAGCTCACCGTCTGCCACTGAAATGACATTTTAAAATTCCCTGTGTTCAGGTTAGTTAATTTCTGAATGGCATTTTATTTCAGAATGTTGTACACTATCTCCTTAAACAACCACCAGCCAGCCTGCATGCAGCAGGGCGCTCTGTCTTGTTCGGGTCTGAAGCACAGGCTTCCTCCCGAAGTGTCTTCCAGGACGCCCCGATGGTCTCTGGCAGGAAGGAGTGTGCTATTGCTGAGCAGAGCCCTTCCTTGGCTGCTGGCACTAGTTCTGCATGTGCTTATTTGGGCCTTAAGAAGGTGCCACCGACCGGGTGTTGCAAACAACAGAAATTACCTCTCAGAGCCCTGGAGGCTGGAAGTGCCAGGTCAAGTGGGGAAGAGGCTGGTTTCTCTGAGGCCTCTCTCTGGCTTGTGGGCGGCATCTCTCTGTGAGTTCGTCTACCTCTTGTCTGGGTCCTTGTGAGGGCACCAGTCAGATTGGATCAGGGCCCACCCTGAGAACTCAGTTCCAATTACCTGTTTTTAAAGCCTGTACGTCGAGTGCAGTCACTTTCTGAGGTGCTGGGAACAGGACTTGAACATGTGATTGGGGTGAGCACGATTGAGCCCCGAAGAGAAATGGTCCAGCTGGGCCAGGTGCCGTGGCGCATGCCCATAATCCCAGCGGCTCAGGAGGCTGTGAGGCAGGAGGATCATGGGTTCAAAGCCAGCCTCAGCAACTTATGGAGACCTTGAGCAACCTAGAAAACCTACAGTGAAGCTGCGACTTCTCATCACCTTCCTGCATGAATAAAGTCTCTGTGTGTGACTCTCGCAGACAGGTGTCCATCAGCCTGTTGACACGGGCATCATAGATTGCAATGAGCGGGTTCTCCCTTTCCATTGCGCGGTTCCTGAGTGAGCCGGGGGCGTGAAGAGAAGGCAGCAGAGCTTTGGGAGCTGGTGCTGGGGTCTCAGGCCCCCCGAGGAGAGTGTGGCTTCCATCTCCACAGGCACCTCTCCCGTCAGAGCGCCCATCTCCCCGCTAAGCCCGATGCTAGCTGGCTTGCACTCGCTCTCCTTAACTGTGTACTTAAAATTAACTAACATTTCACGTATTTGGGGGGGGGGGCATTTTCAAATATATAAAAAGATGCAACTTTTTTATTTCTTGTATATCCATTCATCATCTATCATCTATCCATTATCTATCAGAATTTCTTTTGTTTGTACTGGGAATTGAGCCCAGGGGTACTCTACCACTGAGATACATCCTTAGTCCTTTTTTGACTTTTATTTTGAGGCAGGGTCTCACTAAATTGCTAAAGACCTTAATAAGTTGAGGCTGGCCTCGAACTTGCAATCCTCCTTCCTTAACCTCCAGAGTTGCTGGGATTGCCAGTGTGGGCCATCTATCTACCACCCACCTATTTCTCTATCTGGCTCCTTCTATCCATCTTCCATCATCCACACACAGACACACACTCACACACCACACTAACCTCTATAGATTGTGTGATTTTGTACTTTTACACAGATGCAAAAAATATTTATCTGCAAGTGAATATTCTTAGACATAAATATACCATTCTTAGAATTACCTATGCTGATAACATGTACATCAACTTTATCAGTTTTAGCTGCTGTATGATTTAATTTCTTTTTATGACATTTTCAATATCCTCTCTTAAAATTCTAAACTCTTAGTTGGGATCCAAGGATTATCATGAGAAGTGATGTTGGAATATGCATTTGTGTTATATGAATAACTTGTGCACTTCTGCTAGATACATAGAAATAAAATTAAATCCCCAATCTCCCTGGATATTGCCAAATTGCTCCTCACAGTGATTGTTCTAGCTTAGCCCTCACTAGTGCTGCAGGAGGGTTTCCAGTTTCTCATATCCATACACACTGTACATACTAATACTAACAAAAATCAAAATCACTTCCAATTCTCCAGTTGCTGCTGTCTCATCGACACCTTTCATTGAGGTACTGTGTCTTTATTAACATAAACATCTTTTTTCCTAGGTGGTCCTATTTTCATTAGGGAATTCTTACTGATGTTATTATTTGGGATTCTTATCTCACTTTGAAAATCAATAGCCACACATTGTCCGCATAGACACCAGTTTAATCAAGGGCCTAAAGTAGCCTGTACTTGGTGGAATGTGCTACTCCACACCTCAGCTCTGTGTTCGTTCCCTCCAGGGCCGTCTGGGCAGAGCCCTCTGTTAGTGGTCTTGAGTGGGAACCATACAGAGCCAACAAATTTCACCAGCAGGAGCAACCAGTTGTACCTGCGCTGGTCCACCGACCACGCGACCAGCAAGAAGGGATTCCGGATTCGCTACACAGGTGGGTAAATGGCTCGGACTTGGTGATGAGTGTAGCAAAGTGATCTCCATTAAACTGAAAAACTGGACTGAGACTCCACTAATAATCTGATTTCTGACCATTAATAATGAACTGCAAAAGAAAGCATGACGGGAAATTCCTCAAAGTGGTTTCTCCAAGCCACATTGGCAATTTGTTTAAAATTTATTATGAAAATGATTAGTCATTGAATTACATGTTGAAGGCAGCAAAGATATTTCTCAAAAGTTGAAATAGTATAATCGAAACTGACATTAGAATGTGTTTAAACATTCGGGGAACAAACAGGATGTTATTGCATTGCTATAAATTGTGAAATAATAATAATCTTTTACTAGTGAACGTGTCATTTGACCTATGCATATTTGTCTTCACATATGATACACCCATGTGTGTGCTTGTGTGCCACACCCACATGTGTGTCTAAGAAGTGTTTCATGTAAGCCTTTCCTTAACAGTGTGAATTGTCTTGCCTGTCCTTTATATACTTTAATCATTCTGTCAGTAATTATGTGTATTTATTAAATTAATTGGTTAATCAATAAATAATCATATTGGCCAATACATTTAGGGAATATCAAATCCTGTGCACAATCCTTAATCTGCTTTGACCACACCAGTGCTTGTACTGCCCTACAGAAGCAACTGGGAGAGTATCTAAATTCCTGAGGACACGAAAGTTACTAGGCACAAACATCTAGATCCTTCACGGTACCTCAGCCACCAGTGCCTGTGGTCACCTGTGAGATGCACCTGGAGAGCTGCTGGGCTGCTGTTAAGTGCCCAGTGTCCAGGCACAGGTCCCACTGTGGCAGCTCCCATCTCAGGGTGAGGATCCCCCACAGGGCACAGGAAGGAGGCTAGAAGGGAAGGGTCCTGGCTCCCTGGCTGGGGACCTCCTAATGCCTAAGGGGCAGCAAACCTGCAGCAGGCTCAACTGGCCTGGAGCTCAGGTGGTCTTCCTGGGAACGTGTAGTGAAATGCACACAAACTGTGGTTACAAAGTCTGGAGCAGTGGTTGCGTTTGCCTCCGTCAGAACCTTTGTCTGAAGAACAGACGAATCATCAGGCTCTCAAGCCTTGAATACACATCCTTTGTGCACAGATGGTCAGTGCAGGAATCACTGTGAATGGAATCGATCTTGTTCTAACACCCTTAGGAGGGGATTTTCACTCATTGAACAAGAGGGTCCTCTTATCCCCTGCATTAGGAGAAGGTGGCTGTAAGGTTGCACTTCCAGCCCTTGGACCTGTGCCTGTTAGAGCCAAATGCATGTGAGGGGTGAAACACACGGAATGCACAGAGCTTTGCACGCCTTAGAGGTTCCAGGAACTCTGCTAAATGTTAGCCCCCAGTAATTTTCAAGAAGGGATTAAATTAAAGTGTCCCTGAAACATCTAGATGTGGTCTCAGGAGCCCCAGCCCTGTAATATGGCCATGTGACCATGCATCCTGTCCCCAGCCTGCGTTTGCCTTACAGAGGTGAGCTGTCAGTCATTTGGCCACAAGCACAGTACGACTGATCACCTGGGTAGGAAACCAGGACGAAAGCCCCAGAGAGCCTGGTGGTAGAGGAAGAGTCACAGGAGGGCAGCCCCCAGAACACAGTTAGACCATCACTGCAAATCGCATCCTTGGCAGGCTGGGCGAAGCCCTCCACGCTGCTGACCCCCAACAGCCTCATGTTCCCACGTCCCTTCAAGGTGTCCCACTCTTCACTCATGTCTGACCTGGGAGCAGGCCTGCGGTCAGGCAGTCTCCCTGTTTTCCTTCCCTTTTTCACCACCCGGTGACTCTGGAGGTCAGTGGTCAGAGTGCCCGGTGCTTCTCTGAACCAAAGACTCTGGTTCACCCAAAGTAAGAGCTCAGCCTAAACCAGCTGGAAATGGGAGCTGCATGGGTGGTGGAGCAGGGGGCGGAGGGTCCACAGGGGCCATGGAGGATTCCCACAGTGGCCAGCGGGTTTCCTCAACCAAACCAGGCTGTTGTAAAGACTTGAAATGTCCCACGGCAGACCCAGTTAGGAACAGTTGTCTGGGATGCCTCTTGTGGAAGCATGGCTGACCACCAGGGCCAGATGCTCACTGCGCTCCTGGGCAGGCCCTGATGGCCCTCTGACCATTTCTAAGGAAGGTTGTGAGGTGATGTTCAGACACCTCCAGGGATGCGGGCCTTTAAAACCTCTGCCTCCAAAGCAGCCGGGAGCCTCCAGCACACGTATTCCATGTTCCTGTCCTTAGTTATTCCTGGGTCCCTGGGGCCTGCTGCCCAGAACTCACCAGGGCCAGATGGCCACAGGTCTGAACCTGAACTCAGAACCAGGGACAAGCTCTTGACTCTAGATTTTGGGGATGCTTTTTAGAAGCACTTCATGTATTGGTGTGCATTGCCCATTTTTTTAAAAACTGGAGATATTTCCTCTGTATCGCTTTGGCCAAGGGAGATGGTGCCGTCAGAGCTAGTGTGTGACTGACTTACCTGTGTTTGCATGCCCTCAGCCCCTTACTGCAGCCTGACCTCCACGCTGAAGAATGGCGGTGTTTTAAACAGGACCTCGGGAGCTGTTGGAAGCAAAGTGCATTACTTTTGCAAGCCTGGATATCGAATGGTTGGCCACAGCAATGCAACCTGCAGGCGTAACCCGGCTGGCATGTATCAGTGGGATGCCCTCATGCCCCTCTGCCAGGGTAAGGAACGTGCTTGCCTCCCCAACCTTGAGGTCTGTCCATGTTCTGTTTTAATCATGCTCTAAACGTGAGTGGAGCATTAGCTGGGCTACGAGGTGAGGAGACACTGAAGGTTGCCTTCTAGCAGCAAACATGCAGCTTGGCACTTGCCAGGCAGATGCCCGGTGCTCCAGGAGGCGTGGCTTAGCACAACAGCCTGAATTCAGAGAATGAACACTCTGGATTCTGAGCAGTTATTTAATCCTCACTTCATTGTGAAATAGAAGAATGTGTCGTCCCATTAAGATTCACAATAAATTTTCTTGACCACTGTATTAGTTAAAGTAGTCTATTACTGAAAACCCTTCTCCTTGTTTTAAGTTTAAATGCTCCTTTGAGTTGTCAGCTTTATTTTTGATTCTCTTTGGGCCACTTAAATCTAGGGCTTGCTAACATTGATTTCAGTATTTCATGCTTCTTGGATTTTTTTTTTTCATTTTGTCTATCATATGCATAAAAACCAAGTTTTCAAAGAATTTTACTTTTGATGGAAGGCTTTGAAGTAATGAAATTTTCATAGCTTCTTCTTACAAGGTTCACATTCCTAATGAAATAGATTAGCCTTTGAGAGCTGGTCCTGGCCCATTCTGGGTTCCATGGGCTCCCTGGGTCTCTTCCACGTGAAATGGTGGAATTCCTGGCACTGCTCTGTGACAGTGACAGATGTGTATGGCTCCTGTATGTGTGACCCATGGAAAGTGACCAGATGCTTAGCTGTGTTATTTAGGGTTTACATCCAGAAATTCTTTTTTAATATAATATAAGCATAAATATAGACTCAGGAAGTTTGTCTCATTGGGAATGATGCTTTTTTTTTCTTTAAAAAAGCACTTTTTATTTTGGAAGAAGGTCCACTTCTTATCAGCTTTAAATATTTTATGACTCTCTGCCATGGAATCCATTGCTGACAATGTGGGTGCCTGGTGGTCTGTAACCTGTTGGCACTGGGAACAGAGTGCCAGGGGAAAAGTAATGACCCCAACAGCAGCATGGACTCCAAAGAGGGATTGTAGAAGACCCCCAGGATCAAGTCCTGCAGGGCTGTGGCAACCTGAGCCCAGATACGTGTGCTCAGGGTGGAGCCCAGAGGTTCTGCAGGGGCTTGCACTGGGCGAGGAGTGCCCTGAAAGGTGGCCAGCGGGAGTCTGCCTTCCCGACAGGGAGGAGCTCTGGGGCTCTGGAGATTGTGGGCAAGATGGGATGCGGCTGGCTTCTCCATGAGAAGGAGGAACCCAGGATGGCCGGAGGCTTGCTGGTGGGCTTCCACCCCGTCCACCTGCCTAGAGCTACTCAGTGTGGAGTTCATGGCTGGGAACAGGCATGGGCTGGCACCAAGCCCTCTGGAGTTCTTAGTCGGGGGCAAGATCCAGTGGCTGTGAGCCACGCATCTCCGCTGTGCTGAGCACTGCCCAGAAGCACTGGCCTCCAGGTTGGGACCAGTCACATAGCGCCTGCTGAAAGGAAGTGAGGATGTTGCCCCTCAGATGGCTCCTTGAAGATCCACGGCCCGTGTGATCTGATCTTGAGGTATGGCACCTGAGAATCACCTTCCTCTGGTTTGCCATGCTTTCACATAAACAGGAAGTCAATGTGATTTGTTCTCTTCATAAATTTTCATCTTTAAGACCTGGAGGGACCTTAAAAACCATCCAGTTCCACTTAATCTACCTGTTTAAATGGAAGGGCATGAAGTTAACAGGCATGCTGATGGTCAGTGTGGTTCTGAAATCCCATCCTGCCCTCTGGGCAGGTTTCAGTCAAGTTGCAGGCAGCAGGTACCATCTGGAGTGGTCCATGTCATGGGCACTTCAGTTTAGTCACCGCATGAGTCTTTCAGATCCTCCCTTAGATGTGTACAATTTGTGGAAGTAGCATGTTACCTGTGGTAATATAAAAAATATTTTATCATGTATGATATAATGTTTAAAGCACAAAAAAGTAGAATAAAAATCAGAATTTTTGGATCGTTTTAATTATGTAGTGTAATTAAGCATATTTTTTTCTTTTAAAAAATAAAATTAAAATTTTAAGTAGTAAAACTGATTGCCTGGTCAGGTGAACATCATTAAGGAGTTTGTAATATGTAAATAGAATAGAGTTAGGTAGCATACTTTGCTCCTTCATGGAATGGGCATGTGGAAGGCTTGCCTGAAGAGTCCTCAGACTTGATCTAAGTTTAACCTGAAGGGTCAGCTTGCCGTTGCTGCAGTACGCACTGAAGGGAGAGCTATCTGTGCTGTGTTAGGCACTTGCCTTCCTGAGATGGCTGCAGAAGGCAGACTTCCGCATGCATGGACTGAAACCTGATTCAGTTGTAGGGAAGGTGTGGCTGTTTTCATTTCAGTCTTATCCCTGGTTAGACACTGCAGCTCCTCAGGCTCTGAAGGCCCCCTGGGAGCAAGCCTTGTGGCACCTCACTTCAGTGTGCTGGTGAGCTCGGAGACAGGCGTGAAACGTGGGGTATCTGAGCTCGACTTGGCAGTCATGTTGGAGGCAGGGTGTCATGGAAGCCCTCAGATGCACATTCTGGAGACTTTCAGGTTCTGCTCACTGGTTGGTGAATCTGTGAAGGTGCCAGGAAGACAATCACATCTGCATTTCCGAGAGGTAGAGCCCCTGTGGCATGGGGGGCGGTGGCATGACTGGATCGAATCCTCCCTGGAAATCAGGGTTTCCAGAAAGCTATGAATGTGTGTTTGAGGGATATGAAGACGTGAGCAGATACACGGAAGGTAGGTTTAGCAAGAAAGTGGATAAAGGAAGGACTCGGGAAATGGTGTCCACAGACCCTTACGGTAGCACAGAGAGGTCAGGGGAGGGAGAGCTGGGTACCTGTGGCCTTTCTCCTGAGGCCCTAGAGAGCCTGGTTCAGCTCTGAGACCATGGGGCAACAATCAGGCTTCCACACATGTGTCCGTTCCATGAGCTGTGCTCCCCGCGGGAGCTCCTGGGCAGCGGCTCCTGGGGGGTCTGATGCACAGAGACCCCGGAGTTCTTTAAACCCTCAGAAAGGAGAGGCAGCTTAAATTAGTTTAATGTACCCAGCATCTTTTTTCTTAAAGATTCTGATCTAGTGCCAGAATCTGTTTTGTTCTCTTCTGTCTTCACTGACAATTTTTGGCAGAGGACTTGGAGAAGCCAGAATTTTGTGAGCCAGCTGTTCACGTTTGGAGCTGGAGGCCAGATGTGAGGGTCACAGCTGCTCAGCCCTGCCCCCCCTCCCTGTTTCCTGCCATTCAAGTTCTTCATTAATGGTAGCTGTTTCCATTAGGCTTGTGATGGGGCCCATGAGGCTCCTGCTGCAGAAGTTGGGGGTGGTGAGCTCAGGGTGCAGAGCTGGGGCAGTGCTTCCTCCAGAGAATCCTGGAGACTTGAAGTTAGCTTGCAGATCAAACGGGCTGGCCACTGGTCATCAGGCCAGGTCCATTTATTGGTTTCAGAGAACTCCAGGATGTTTTTCTCACTTTGTTGACCTTTTAAGTTATTGCTTTCAGCAAAGCCGCCTTGGTTTCTGTCCTCCTCTGCAAAGCCAGGCATATCTCCTGTCCTGCAGGCTTCATTTCCTGCCTTGAAGCAAGAGACTCTGCCAAGCAGCTATTTCATTATCAGTGCACTAATCTCATTCATCTAGAGGAGGAGGCTGAACTGGAACTGAAATGTCTGCATTATCTCAAGGATGCAGTTAAACGGGGGCATCGCAGCGCACGCTTTCAAGCTGCCCCTGGTGAAGACAGAGCGATTCCCGAGTAGCTATTTATTTTGAAGCTCTGCTTCTCAGAACCCTGAATAAGCCGGAGCTTCAGCTTGGCATTGCCTCGGTCTATTGTTTATTTATGCTTTGCTGGTGTTTCTGCAGGCAATGAGGGGTAAGAAAAATGATCTGTCTCAGAAAAGTACACGTAGAGCTTCTGTTTTAAAGTCAGACCTTTAAGATAGACAGGGAAAAGCATTCTCTGCTAACACACCCTGTTTTGAAGGATATGGGGGAGCTGAAGAGATGGTGGACAGAGACGTGATTCACGTGGGTCTGCTTGCATATCTCTTTAATCTTTATAGTCTCAGTGTCCAAGGATGACCTTTAACCAGGAAGTACAATGACAAGTTGCCTGAGACGAAGTTTGAACCCAGGCCTCTGAGTTATCTCTATGATACCTTGATAATAAAAATGTTATTATCAAGTGCTAGGAGACTGTGTCTGAGTCCTGGGATAAAGGAAGTATTTTGTAAGTCTTACATATGCTTCTTGTGAGTGCACCCATCATAGGTGATTATGACTTTAGCCTTATTTTCATATACACATTCATTTGTCTCTGTGAAATTGTCCATCTTCTGTGTCTTCATAATATCTCAATATTTCTGGTACTTTAGATTTAAATATGAATTCAATTAATAGAAATTTCTAAATGTCAGATCCCATGGTGTGTGTGTGGGGGGGTGTGTATTCATGTGTGTGCGCATGTATGCGTGTGTGTGCGCATGTATGCGTGTGTGCGCGTGTGTATGCGTGTGTGTGCGTGTATACAGACAGGGTGTAGGCATTACGTCACTCATGCTCTAAATGACCAGGATGTGAATCCACATAGTCCCTGGAGCCCAAACTTGCTAAATCCCATTAATCATATTATGAAGTGAGGTTTATCCTACTTACCCTTGATCAAATCAACCTTTCTCGTTATTATGGGATTTGAGTTGAATAGATGGTCATGGGAATGGCAATCCTGACTCACAATGTTGGGATGGACCCTTCCCACCCAGCACTGCCGGACCGTGCCCTGCACAGGGGCCTTGCTTCTCCCAGGTTTTACTTTTCTGCCTGTCAGTGGAGAGGCCAATAATACCCCACCCGTTTTGCTTGAAGGATTAAATGAAAGTGTTGGCATGAAACCCTTATAAAAGCACCAGGTAAAAATAGGTGCCTGGTACAAAGAACTCTGACCCTACACAGGGGCGTTGGCAAGGGC